TTTGGTATCTTTGTGAGATTTACTGTGAACCCATTCGCTTTCGTGTTTGGTGATTGCACTTGCTTCTTGGCGTGGTGTGACTGGTGACTTCAGGTTGATCGTGATCACTCGAATTCTCGTGGAGAATGTCTGCCATGTTCATAGGCGCATACACGGCAACTCGATGAAAGCCGGCGTACGACGAACCAGCCGGCAGTGCAGGTTGAGCGGCCTCTTCGCTGGCGCCGTGTTTGCTGCATGTGGCCCTGGTGTGGTCAATCCCAGTGCATTTCCGACACTTGTATGTCTTTCCTGAGGAAACCTCGCCTCGACTTGCAATACGTCGCTTGACGGGCCGACCAGCTTGACGATAAATAGGAGACGGCTTGACAACGCTGTCCGGTACAATGTCCTCATAAACTGGGAGAGCGATTGACTTTGCAAGGTACGCGTTGCAGTATGCTTCAATGGAGTAGGTGTAGTCACTGCATTCATGGAGCAGACCCATCTTGTCCGTGTGCAACAAAACCCGAATAATGTGACGGCAAGGAAGTCCAGTTTGGTCATTGTCGGTGCAAGTGCAGGACTTTTCGCTCAGGATCACTTTGCGCTTTTTGGACTCACGCGACGGGTGGAACACAAAAAACACATCGTCAGTCGACACAATGACTTTGTACGATGGAGCCAACAGCTTCTGTTCGTCAATGATGCCACTTGCATACGGGGTGACAACTCGGCCCTCAGACAACCATTTCTGGGCTAATTTGCTTCTGTGGGTGACGTCCCTTGCACACTCGTCCATCCAAATTAACACTGCCTGGGCAGGAAGCGACTGTCTGCACTTGTTGCGAAGAGTTTTGTTGTTGTCGCTTTCGACAAAGTTGGTTGATCGACATTTGTAGAGACGTCGGCGGGCATGGTCGGTAGCGCTGCGCAAATTTGCAAACACAACCCACTTGACTGGATCAATGTCCCGCAAATACGAAACAACTGAATCCCCATGTGTGATCCCAATAGCGTCTAAACTCCCATTGTACGCCAACTCAGTGTCACTGGCCTGCAACCTCCAGATACAATTCTCGAAAACTTGACCAGCTAGTGCGAATTTGGATTTGAGGTTGCTGATAATGTGCCTGGTGCAAAACTTAAGACACACTTGCTTGCCTGCTCGGGACAACGCATCGGCAGCGAGTTGAGATTTTCCTCGGTCAACCAAACGTAGCACACTCGGTCAAATTAACACCGGCTTGGATGCAATTGGTAAAAAACCAGTGATAATTGTCGCTTGTTTCCTTGGCCACAATTCCAAGTGCCAAAGGTACATTTTTTCCATTTCCATCTCGGCCAATCAAATTCAGCAACACACCATTGTAATCCTTGTGCTTGAAGTGTGCACCGTCTGAACCCAAAAGCTTCAAGTTGAATTCGTGGGCGTTGGCATTGACTTTGCAGCACACATAGGCACGGTAGAAACGTCCGAAAGTGTCCAATTCAAAATCCACCCGAGATCCGGGATTGGCGCGCT